AATCCCTGTGAAATCAGTGGGGCTCTGTGTAGTCTCAGGGGGCTGTCTATACTGGTCAAATGGCAGAATTGAGACCTATGGTGCTGTATAAAAAATGTGATTAAACCCCCTGACACATGCGTGAAAAGTTTAATAATAGTATTGAAAACTGGAAGCCTGATTTATTATACAGTGATGCTGTGCTGGAACATTTGTCTCACTGTATTTAATTCAGGAAGTCTTAATAGTATGTACTCATTGCATGCCTATCGTGGCCATTAGTGCGAAAGGGACTTATGCACATGCACGAAGAGGAGAATATACACAGTGCTTTACATGAAATTTGAAATGTGAGTTATTTTCAATGCAGTAAGAGAAAGGAAGCAACAAAACAAAAGATACAATTGTAACAGTTCAAAAGAGTATTAAAGAAGGAAAGCTATGAGTAGTAGCTTTTGTCACTCTATCTGAAGAAACCTTACTGCTCTTTTGTATTACAGTATTATTATTATGTTATTGTTATTAATTAAATCAAAGGAAATTGTGTATATGTTGGTGTTTGTCTTCATTATGAATCCCAGATTTGGAAAGCTTCACAAAAATAGGAATTTAGAAACAAGGTGAGGTGCTCAGGTCAACACCAGAAAATGCTTGCAGCTCACTTCTGTTTTATAGTGCTGGGCTCCAAGTTGAGGGAACAAGCTGTAAAACAAGGGGAAGTGATGGTGAGGATGGTAATTATTTCCAATGTGCTTTGCATTTTTTCCCCTCAAAAAGGCCATTTTTGAGATGCAGAAATCAATAAAACATCCAAAAATGATATTTTATGCATATTTGTTAGCCCCAAAATAGACATTCCTGTTTTATTATTAGTTTCATCTGAAAAAGCCTCTACCTTGTTTTGAAGCCTCGAAAGCCACGTTTCACTTTGGTTAGCACTGCTGCCGTTTTTGGCAGCATAAAGGATCTTGAAGTACAGCTGTATGCAAAATGCCTTTATAATGAACAGTAATGAGAATGAAGAGGGAAGGATAAACAGTAAATATTCAACTGGGGCCCAGATCTCTCGGAGTTCCATGCAGGTAGCCCCTGCCACAGACTTCCCTGGAGCTCCATGTAAGGAGCTCACTGCAGAAGTAGGGGCAGGTATAACAAACCAAAACAGGATTTTCAGATGCACACTTACTATCTTGAAGATACGTTTAAAATTTCTCCTGTTTTTTACTTCAAGGAGGCAAAAATTGGAGTGAAAATTTAAGATTTCCGCCCTCCTCATGGTCCCATGAAATGACTGGTCCAAAGTGGATGCCATGCTAATTTTAAAACTGCAGATTATTTTTCTCTTTCACATTGACCTGCAAAGTTTATGAATAAGCAGCACACAAATTTAGATCTGATTTGCCAGGAAATTAAGAAGCCTTCTAAAGTTTTAGAGACTTTCATGGGAATCCTGTTTCAGGATTATTGACCCCTTGTTGAGAGAACTAACACAAGGAAGACAGGCATGGGCTGATGGACAGGTTCATTCTGTGTTCTTTATGAACAGTAAGGTGATTTGATTGGGCTCTTGCTCTGTACTGTTGATATTTTTTCATAATTGGTATGGATACCATATTGGTTGCATTATTAATTGCTATTTATTGCATAATCACCATAGAAGAAATGATCCAGCCATAATTGTTTTCCCATACTCCCTATTTTCATCTTGCATTTCCCACTGATTTCCCCCCTCCCCCCAAAAAGGTAATTTTTTTTTAAAGTGCACACAAACAATTGTCTTTAGAAACTATCATATAAGCTTTGCAGTGTGGAGTACAGGCATTATTTTAGTGCAAAGTGAGCGTTTTCCCCTCTCTAGTTTGCTGCCTCTTCCTCATCATATTTAAACCAATGTTGGTGATAGCATCGCTATAAACCACAAGATAAAGATGTTGCATCTGTGAATGTTTTGCATGGGGATGGCTAATCTGGCATGACATAGTATTACAAAATAAGGCTCCAATTCAGGAAAATACTTAAGCACATGCTTAAAGTTATGCATATGTTTTAAGTGCTCCCTTGTATAGGAATGCTATTCTGAACTGGAGCCTAAGTAAAGAACTTAAAACACTAGAACCTTACTAATTCACCCTAACAGGGAGACCCACTGCAAACTAGCAAGTGGTGGGGGTAGCCAGTAGATATACAGCATATTACCCCTTGTCTCTGACATTCAAGAGCAACGTGGAACAGGCTTGGTTAATTTACTGGTCTATCAGTTTGCCATGAACATTTAAACCATAAGTGTCAAAGCTCTGTTTAAGGATGTTCCTGAGATCTGAGAGTTGGGCCACACGATGACACGAGGTTCATCCAAGTGGGATGCAGCACAGCATTAGAATTTTGCTGGCCAGTGCTCTGCAAACCTTGAAAATCCCTTTCCAGTGTAGGTTTGCAGTGTACACCAGTGCAGAGTAACAAGATTTCACTGTACACGTAAATACTTGTCTGTCTTGTAAAAGATTCAGGTAACTATAAAAACAATAGGTAAAAATCTCTTATAACATGCTTCCTACTTCTGATTGCAAGGTCATGGATTAAATGATATACAGTGAAATGGAAATTTCCTTCTGTGTAGTAGTGACTATACCCAGTAAAGAATGCTATGATTCTAAAACGATAAAATCAGGGTACCCACTTAAGGAATTATTGTAAGAGTTTAAAATGAGATTTTCTTTTAAAACACTCAACTTTTCCATGATTTTTCAAAGTTGAGATATGCTTAGTTATTTTTTTTAATGTTAAGGAATGAGATGAAGTTTTGGAAGCAGAAATAATTTTGAGCGAGTTTAAAAAAAATAAAATAAAGGGGTGTTTGTCTATAAAACTCATCGGACCAATTTGGCCTGCTTTTTAATATTAAAATATAAGATTTGGGATTAATAATTCTCAGACAATTTCTTATTGAGCTGCATAATGCAACATTGAGTTATTTATGTAATGCATATACTTCTTTTTGCTGTTAGTTATCCTTCGAAAGACTTATTAGTGCAAGAAGACAGCACACCCTGAGAATAAAAATCTCCAAAGTTTGACATCTTTAAATAAGCAACCAAATGTTATAAAGAACAAACCTCACTTACAGTTAGGAAACAATATTTACATTTAAGGTTGAAAAGCCAGGATGTAGGAAAATTTTGCTAATTTGGAAGGTGACCTTTAAGTGCACCAAAACCAAATAATTTGTAAGCCATGGCACAGGGCACATTCCTGCAAAAGTTGTCTGAATACTTCTTTAGTGGTTCTTGAAAGACAAACAAAGAAACCTGGAATGAAATCTTTATCCCCCTCCCAAATAAGATTGAAACTAACAAAGGAGTATAGCAGCGCTCTTTCAAAGCTTGCCTTTAACAGGAGGGCTCTGCAGCACAGTTAATGAGATGTTTCAGAAAACAATCTGTTTTTAAGAATGTTTAGATCAAAAGTAATTTCTAATCTATGAAATGAAGTTGCTTTTCAATACCTTTCATTCAGTAGCCAAGCTTTATATGTTTGCATTATTTATTTCAATCAGATGTTCTCAATTTTACTTTTTCTCCTTGGACCTACTTGACAAGGTTAGTCAGTAGTGACCAACAGTTTTATTCTTCCAAAGCAAAAAACAAGAGAGAGAGAAAGAAGGGGTGGAGGTGGGGGAGGGGGAGAAACATCTTTGCCTAAATGATTTGCAAGCATCTGTGCTTTAAGCTACTTTTTATGAACACTCTTAGTAATGACTCAAGGTAAAAAAGCAGAAAAGCATCCAATGTTAGGAAATTGCAATCCAATACCACGTAATTTAAACCTGCCATTGCTTCTCTTGTACTAAATGACATACAGATGGGTAGCTCCGTTCCCTCTACTTTGGGAACACAATTGGACTTTTTATGAGTGTATATATTGCTGACAAAAATATTTTTGTCAGGACTGTTTATTTCTAATTGTGCATATTATAATTACTTGAATAATTAGAGTTATTTTACATGAAGTATTACATATGGTTAGTAAAGCTATTTCCACATTCAGCACACTTATACTAGTGTAATTTTTTTTGTTTTCATTCACCAGAGCAACCAGTATTGGGTCCTGAAAAGTATAAATCTCAGATTGGCTTCCTCAAAAAAAATTTTTTTGAATTCTTTTCTGGAGTAATTACAGATTTTGCATTATAAGAATGATGTTTTTACAATAATGCCTTGAGACCATTTAGATTTTCTTTTTGTGTGTAGAACCTAGGCATAGTCTAAGTTGGGATTTTCAAGGGAGTATGAGCCAGCTTTGATTTTAATTAATTAACAAATTAATTAATTAATACATCCCAGCTATAATTTTTAAGACAACTTTATTTTTGAGGACTGCACAATTTTTAGAATAGTGAAATGACTTTTCTCTTCGGGCTGATATTTTGATCTGCGTTATGAGACATAGTCCGTAAGAATAATTCAATTGTGACAAAAATACACCTTTTGAAACAAAGTTAAAATAAATGTAAGGATGGTGGAGAAATCAACCATATTGGAAGTATAACAATTTATAATATTTAAAACTTCTTTAAAAGGTTGTGAAATCATTGGATGCTGAATTGTGGCTAAACATCATATGCCCATTACCTTATGTCTACAATATAGATGTCTTGAAAAGAGCATCGAGTTTGAGTTATTTTTTGCAGACTTCTTTTTTTTTTTTTTTTTTTTTTAAAGTGGTAGGAAAATGTTACCTTCTCATGAGTGACTGTAAAGATTTAGGATGGCGCACAGAAGGCTTTGGCTGTAGCACATTGTCACTGCTCCAGTGGAATCACCTGGCTTTTGAGCAACATTCTTTTAAAACTTGGATTTGAAGAAATAATCAGCTGCAGTTCAGCTGAGCCGTTCTATTGCATTAGGGACTGGTCTGGTCATTGACAAGTGAATGCAGAAGCTATGCTGTGGCCGTCAGCCAAAGCAATTATTCAAGATTTAAGCTAAAAAGACTCCTTCTCTCATATCCTCTCCCTTTTTCAGGGTCATGTAGGGATAAAAAGAACTGCAAGGTGGTCTTTTCCCAGCAGGACCTGAGGAAGCGGCTGACGCCTTTGCAGTACCATGTCACTCAGGAGAAAGGGACTGAAAGGTAAGGCAGGCTGAAGGAAGCACATTCATGAAGAAATAGGCATCTTTCCTTCTTTCCTCCCCTTTGCTGCTGTTTCCCCTCCAACCGCTTTCAAGAATTCTCCACTTGTTTACTAACCCCTACAAATTAACACCACTGAAAAGACAGGCATCTGCCGTGTGGTGGTCAAGGCAATAGTGTGTGTGTGTGTGTGTGTGTGTGTGTGTATGTGTGTGTATTAAATGAACACTAAGTGTCTTATAAAGTCACAGAGCTTATGTTTAGGGTCTGTTTTTAGTTTACTACAAAATGTGTGGAAGTAATAGCGGTTTAGGTACATTTTTTGGAAGACATCACAGTGAGCAGAACCATGAGGAAAATGGCTCTTTGCCAGGAGGCTGAAATTTTGAAGGTGGCCATTGTAAGTATAGACATTTTGGCTGCAAAAAGAAGGTAGCATAATTTAGTTCCTTTCCACCCCACTCCAATTTCTTTTTGAAGCGCATGTGGAGAAGGTATTTATTGGCTCATTTGTGGTAGGAATGTCAAAAATTTTCAATAACTGCCCTCACATGGCTTTAGTCCCTGGAAGCTAGCCCTAAATCCTGGATGGAAAAAAAAGTGCTCACTTCCAAACTGTTCGTAGTGAATAGTCTCTCTCAGCTGATTCCAGCATGAAGGCAGCTTGCCAAAGTCTAACCATTTTGTTGTCTAATTTATACCATGGAGCTTGGCATAAGGCCCTAGCTTACCTCTGATCCAAATGTATTAATGATGTAACTGCTTGTTTTCATTCATGACCTGAAAGGGCTCTTTACCACACATGGGGTCCTAGTTAATAGGCAACACTCTTCCTATCAGAGTAGACTATTTGCTGAATGTAATGAATGAGAATCAGTGGCACAAAACCCCCCACAAATGAGCTGGCAGTGGGACCTGAGCCTCCACTCATGAGACCTTCTTCCACCCTAATCACTTACTGTTGTGTATATGATTAGCAAAATGATTTAATGCACACAAACAATTGGAGAGTAGGTCATTCTTAAAAATCCTGTTTATAAAAAAAAAATTGGACCTCATAAAAAGGGTGAAAGGATAATAAAAACAAGCTGCCGAGCACATAGGCTTTTTGTTGGACTAGCACAGCTGATTTGTATTAGATGAATGACCTCCTAGCCCTTAAGTTTGTTAACTTAGAAAAATATTCCCTTAAAATTGTAATATTCCTTTTCGACTAAAAATATAAGGCTCACGCAGCTTGAAATGATGGACGAGTTGTTTCATTTTCTGCTAAGATACGAATGATACTCTAACAGACGGGCAGCCCATCCTGTGCTAACAAACCAACAGTGTCATTTACCCACTACACTAGAGCTTTATTTGTTGCTGAGCATTTGAGATCATTGTTAAAAGATTGTTTGAAGACTAAAGCTAGAGAAATGCTCAAGATTAATTAAATTTTAAACAATCTTTGTTTAAAAATTACTAATTTTAGGACGTTGCCAAACAGTTTTAAACAGCAATTGGTTTTTGTGCTCTTATCTTTGATGTGTGTGAGGTTTTGCTTCCTCCTGAATGGTATGTAACTGTTAAGGCAAATTTATGAAGATACTCATTTTTTCATTTGATAAACAATAACAATAGCTAACTCTTGAGTTCAGCTTTTTGCACTCTAATATAGTATTTAAAAAACACTATTCCTTTACTGATTTTTAAAATAGCGTTTTTGTTTTTCCCAGCGCCTTTGAGGGAGAATACACACATCATAAAGCTCATGGGATATACAAATGTGTTGTCTGTGGAACTCCTTTATTCAAGTGAGTATATTAAATATAATTTCAAGACTTCTTTCTGTATTAGATATTATGTTATGATCCACTGTAATCTCTCATGTTCCAGGCTTTACAGTAGCTTTGTAAGAAAAATTAAAAATTAACTTTCATTCAAACCAAAAGATAGTATAAAAAAATTTAAATAGCATAATACAGTAAACTGGGAGTCTTATAGTATAAGTAACTTGACTGGGAAATGAGTTTTATAATACAGAGCCATGGACTTAGCTGGTGAGGTAACTTTAGAGTTATTTGGGTTCTTTATTTCAGCATTGGAGATTCAGATGTGGGTGTAAACCAGTGATCCCCATTCTGTAGGCTCATGTAGGCCCTATGGAGGTAGTCTATCCATACTCCAGTCTGGTGGTTAGACCATTAAGAACATAAGAACATCCATGCTGGGTAAGAACAATGGTCCATCTTTTGATAGTGGCCAGTGCCAGAAGCTTCAGAGGGAGTGAACAGAACAGGGCAATTATCGAGTGGTCCAGTCCCAGCTTCTAGCAGTTTAGGGGCACCCAGAGTGTGGTGTTGCATTCCTGACAATCTTGGCTAATAGCCATTGATGGATCTCTCCTCCATGAATTTATCTAATTCCTTTTTTAACCCAGTTCTACTTTTGGCCTTCACGACATCCCCTGGCAATGAGTTCCACAGGTTTTACTGTGTTGTGTGAAGAAGTACTTCCTTATGTTGTTTTAAATCTGCTGCCTATGAATTTCATTGGGTGATCCCTGGTTCTTGTGTTATGTGACGGGGTAAATAACAGTTCCTTATTCACTTTCTCCACACCATTCATGATTTTATAGACCTCTGTCATGTCCCCCTTAGTTGTCTCTTTTCAAAATTGAATAGTCCCAATCTTTTTAATCTCTCCTCATACAGAAGCTGTTCCATATCCTCTAATCATTTTTGTTGCCTTTCTCTGTACATTTTTCAATTCTAATATATCATTTTTGAGATGGGGTGACCAGAATTGTATGCAGTATTCAACATGCCATTATATTTTCTGTCTTCTTATCAATTTCTTTCATGTTTCCTAACATTCTGTTAGCTTTTTTGACAGCTGCTGCACATATGAGCAGATGTTTTTAGAAGACTAACCACGATGACTCTAAGATCTCTTTCTTGAGTGGTAATGGCTAATTTACACCCCATGGTTTTGTATGTATAGCTGGGATTATGTTCTCCAATGTGCATTACTTTGCATTTATGAACATTTAATTTCATCGACCATTTTGTTGCGCAGTTCCCCAGTTTTGTGAAATCCCTTTGTAACTCTTTGCAGTCTGCTTTGGACTTAACTATCTTGAGTAATTTTGTATCTTCCGCAAAGATGCTACCTAACTGTTTACTCCTTTTTCCAGATCATTTATGAATATTTTGAACAGCACTGGTCCCAATTTCAGATCCTTGGGGGACCCTGATCTTTACGTCTTTCCATTGTGAAAACGGACTATTTATTCCTACCCTTTGTTTCCTGTCTTTTAACTGGTTACCGATACATAACAGGACTTTTCTTCTGATCTCATGACTGCCTACTTTGTTTAAGAGCCTTTAGTGAGGGACCTTGTCAAAGGTTTTCTGAAAATCCAAGTACACCCTATACACTGCATCGCCCTTGTCCATATGCTTGTTGACCCCACTCAAAAAAGTCTAATAGATTGGTGAGGCGTGATTTTCCTTTACAAAAGCCATGTTGTCTTTTCCACAACATATTGTGTTCTTCTATGTGTCTGATTATCCTGTTCTTTAATATAGTTTCAACCAGTTTGCCTGATACTGAAGCTAGGTTTAGTGGTGTGTAATTGCCAGTGTTTAGAGCCTTTAAAAAAAATTAGCGTTATATTGGCTATCTTCCAGTCATCTGGTGCAGAGATTGATTTAAGTGATAGATTATATACTACAGTTAATAGTTCTGTAATTTCATATTTGAGTTCCTTCAGGACTCTTGGGTGAATACCATCTGTTCCTTGTGACTTATTACTATTTAATTTGCTCCAAAACCACCTCTACTGACACCTCAATCGGGAACAATTCCTCAGATTTCCCATTTAAAAAGAATGGCTCCGGTGTGGGAATCTCCCTCATATCCTCTGCAGTGAAGAACGATGAAAAGAATCCATTTAGCTTCTTTGCAATGGCTTTATGTCTTCATTGAGTGCTCCTTTAGCACCTTAATCATCCAGTGGCCCCACTGATTGCTTGTCAGGCTTCTGGCTTCTGATGTACTTACAAAAATTTTTTGCCATTAGTTTTTGTGTCTGTTGCTAGTTTCTCTTCAGATTCTTTTTTGGCCTGTCCAATTAAGTTTTACACTTGACTTGCCAGAGTTTGTGCTTCTTTCTGTTTTCCTCAGTAGATCTGACTTCAAAATTTTAAAATATGTCTTTTTGTTTCTAACAGCCTCTTTTTTACTGTGTTGTTTAGCCATGGTGGCATTTTTTTGGTCCTCTTACTTTTTTTTAATTGGAGGTATATGCTTAGTTTGAGCCTCTATTATTGTGGGTTTTTTTTTTTAAATGTCCATGCTGCTTGCAGGCATTTCACTCGTGACTACTCATTTTAATTTCCATTTAACTAGCTTCCTCATTTTTTGTGTAGTTCCCCTTTTTGACGTTAAATGCTACTGTGGAGGGATTTTTTGGTATTTCCCTCCCTACAAGGAGGTTAAATTTAATTACATTATGGTCGCTTTTACCAAGCGGTTCAGCTATATTCACCTCTTGGACCAGATCCTGTGTGCCACTTAGCACTAAAACAAGAATTGCCGCTTCCCTGGTGGGTTCTAGGACTAGCTGCTCCAAGAATTAGTCATTAATGGTGTCTAGAAATGTTGTCTCTGCATCCTGTCCTGAGGTAACATGTAGCCCGTCAATATGGGGATAGCTGAAATCCCCCATTATTATTGGGCTTTCTGTTTTTGTAGCCTCTCTAATCTCCCTGAATATTTCACACTCCCTATCACCATCCTGGTCAGGTGATTGGTAGTACATTCCTATTTCTATACTCTTATTATTCAAGCATGGAATTTCTATTGGTACATTTAAAAAAAAAAAACTTACTTCAAGATTTTTGCTATATTTGACTCTCTGCTTTCTTTCTCATATTGTGCAACTCCCTCACCATCATGACCCACTCTGTCATTCCTGTATATTCTGTACCCTGATATTACTGTCTCTCATTATCATTATTCCACCTAGTTTCTGCAATGGCTATTGTATCAACATCCTCATTTAATACCAGACACTCAAGTTCACCCATCCTAGTACTTAGACTTCTAGCATTTGTATACCCGTACTTATAAAATTAGTTAATATTTAGTTGTCTGCCTTCATGTGATGTAATTGAACGGGACTTTTTTTCATTTGATTGTTTCTCTTCAGTTCCTACCTCTCTCTACTTTATCAATTTCTATCCTCTCCTCTTTACTAGGATATGGAGTGTCCCCTTTAATAAAACTTCCCCAGAGGACTGTCTCTGTCCAAATTGTGTGCGCCTCTGAACTTATTGGCTTAAAAACTCCTCTGTCCTTTTAAATTTCACATGCCAGCAGTCTGGTTCTGTTTTGATTTTAGGTGGAGCCCATCCTTCCTGTATAGGCTCCTCCTTTCCCAAAAGGTTACCCAAGTAGTTCACAGAGAAACAAAATAGTTGGTTTTCTTATTCAAGGGAAAATTATATATGCTCACTGAATTTTCATATTTATTATTCCATATGAAGAGCTGAATTAGACATTTTGGCCAAGATTTTTCAAAAGCAGGCTGCTAATTTAAAACTAAGCCTCTTTTAAATGTAGTAGGGGAAAATATCCTACAAAATGGGGCACTAGAAGCATAACTGATTACATGGTGTCAATTACTCTTTTTCACTTTTGTTTAGGCACTTTCCTTTTTGACTATAATTTCTTCACTCTGACTTCTTCTCCTGCCCTGTTTTGTCTTAAGTCTAACCTGGTCTTTCCCTTAAACAGCAACATCTGCTTTTACATTCTCACTCTGTAGAGCATATGGAAGACAGCAGGTCAGGACAGGGCTCTTATCTCTGACTAGGTTGGGGAAAGGAGATCAATAGAATGATATATGCATGAGACATCCCTAAAACCTATTTTAAAGTGTAGGGGACAGGGTCAAGAAGGAAGTAAGAGCAAAAAGTAGGAAGAATGGCATTTGAAAGTGTCCTAAGATCAGTAGTAAGCAAAATTGTTTGGAAGGGTGTATGTGCACTCTTTCAAACCCCATGTTCAGACTGTCACTTATGGGGGAAGTTTTCAGGATACAGGATAGAACAAATTCCACTTTAAGACTTACTTGTGACTTTCTCAGATGAGAAGTGTTGACTAAGTCTGCTCTTATGGCACTGCCTTGGTATTTTTAGTTGAAGTAAAGATAATAAGTTGAATTCAGTTTCTGTAGCCATGTGTAAGTTTTTGGCTATACTTTGTACCATGTTACAAGCCCTGGCTTCCCCGCATATAGTAATACACAGTATTTCTGCGAATTAGGTCATTGTGTCCATTGTATGTTTACATGCTGTATTGCCAGGGGCAGTGTTGAAGATATTCATGCAATCCATGTTCTGCATCAATATTTTGCATTTCATGGTTAGGGCAACCATGTATCCCTGAAAATGGGAATGACCCTGTTTTCAAAGCCTCTTCTAGAATCTCTGTTGGTTTTATGAAAAGGGGTGATTTTATCCCACTTCTTGTAAACCCCATCCAATTACAGAAGCCTGTTAAATGTGCCTCAGGGCTGGTCTTATAAAGTATTATGTTTTACATGATGACACTGTGCCCTTCCCTCCACCATTATAAGACTTCTGTCCAGGTCCTCAAGCAGTCCTTCCACATACACAGAGTCAAATCCACTGGGTGGCACTGAAGAAGAGGAAGAGGCAATGCTTGGCCAAGGAGGGGGAGAAGAAGGAGTGAGCACCCCCTGCCCACAGCTGCAAAAACCCTGGTGTGCCTATCTCTTTGAGCT